CATCCCCAAAGACCTCCATGGCCAATCCCGTAGAAGGGCATTGACTGTCCCAAAAGCAACTTAACAGGCTTTGTAGAAACCAAATGTCAACATATATTCAAGTTCTAAGAAGGAGCTGAACCAGTTACACATTTAGGACTAAGTTTATAAACTTTTTCTACTGTAGTATATCTATTGACGATTACTGGTGGTTCAGAGACTATGAATTCAAACTAGATCCTAGAATTTAGACCTGGGCAATATATTCCTGGTTTACTCTTCAAAAACTAGAAATTCCTGCTAAATTAATTGTGTTATACGGTTTATTAGGGGTATTTTAAAAATCTCAGATAAAATTTCACCACTTGTATTTTGTCATTAACCGTGTTGTTATGCTGTGTTTATTTGTCTCATTGTTAATTAATGTTGTGTTTCTATTTTTTTGGTTTAAAAAATGCTGAATAGAAATTTATTAATAAGGAATAAAATTCTTGATTCAAATCTTTTCCTTGATTTTTTTAAAAATGTGATAAAACATATGATGGCATTAACATTAGAATCGCATTTTGGCACAGCAAAAAGCGAAAAACAGTGGTTTTTCTTTGACGTAAGTTCTTCACTTTTTCTATACCGACTTTAAAACTCAATAAAGTGAAGTCATAGCTAGATGTTCTCCCTTTGTGAGGCATCATGAAATTAAAGTACATACAGTCAGCTTTCAAATAATGTTGCATACATGGAGATTTAGAAACAATTTCTAAATTAAGGAGTATTAATTAAAAGTTTAATGGTTGAAATTACCGATTTCAGGGCTTTTTATGAAACCATAATGTGATGATCGGCTATTAGAATATATTCTTTCCTTTAAGGTACAGCCTCAATCATTTATTTATGTTTTTTTCTAGATCAATAAATTAATTAACTTCAAATTCAAAATGGATGCAAAATGTTCAAATTATGTGAACTACATTTGTTATATTGTGGACCTTGTTTAAAGAAAAAGAGAAATATCTGTATCTACTCTTTGAGTGTAAATGCCTGAGTGTCAAGACTCACCACTCCGATGGAGAAGTAGTTGTTCATAATGCTGTAAGGCACCGGGTCCCCTCGCTCCTCCTTGTCAGTGGGCGTCACATCGATCTTCCAGCGATCCAGCATCACTTCGGTGCTGTTCTCAATATCCCGAAGGATCTTAAGGAGGTTTTCACCCTCATAGCCTCAAAGATGAGAGAAATTAACTGAATTAAATGCAGTTCCTCACAAAATAATCATACCCCTTTAATGTTATCACTCCCTATAGTTGGTATTTTATGTTAGAGCCTCACAAAGTAGATAAAAATTTTAAAATATAATTTTTTTTATAGATATGAATCATGTATTCATCATTGTAAACATATGAGGTTTACAATATATTTGTGTCCAACTTCCTTTATCCCAGCCCATCCACATCAAATTCAAATCAGTCAACTGCCTTCATATGTAACAAAACTTCCACTGTATTTCCTGTGTCAGTATGAATGCAGGTGTGAATTAACTCGTAACACACTGGATCCTCACAAGAACTAACTTTTCATTGTGACCATCTACGGTACAAATACAACATCTTTAGCTATACAATCATTACCGAATGCTTTATGTTTGAATCTTTTGATCACTGCAATCAGGGTGTCTTCTGTACAGTATGTAACTACCGGTATAGCCCCATTTAACCTACCCTCTGAAACCAATCCGTGCCGAGTTCAGACCGAGCTTGGATAAGTTAACCGTGCAAAGCCTGGTTCCTTGCGACCGTTTACACGATCTATGGTACTACCGCTTTCTAGGATTGAAGGAAGGAATCACACAAATCTAAACAGCACCGCCAGTAACATTCAGGAAATTGGTTATAATTGTGATATTTCGTTGTTTGCAGAGAGTCAGGCGAAGATGGCGGCCTTTGTTGAATTTCCTTGACATAGTCAGCTTTTGGGAAAAGGATACGACAAACGATAGTTTATTCAGGGATTACAGACACAGGAAACGACAGATATTGAGGTTCATCAGACTCCTAAGCAGAATTATCACTGGAAGTCAAGTGGCACGGTAGGGAAGCTAGCGTGCTAGGAGATGACGTGGTCTCATGCGCTCTTTGTTATTAAAGAACTGATCCACAACAGAACTGCGCCGAGCCCTGCTGATGAACTAGTACCAGTTTAGCGCGGTTCAGTTGTGTCTGGCATGATCCAGTTCAGTTTGCGTGCCATTTGCACTTAACAGTTATCTCAGTTACCGTGCTCGGTCTGCTCTCCACACAGTTTCAAAAGGGTACTGTAAATGGGGCAAATGTCTGCCTTTTTTGTAAAGAAGGTTAAATAATTGTGCAAGAGGTCACATACAGTATTTTCTCTGCTGAAAAGAAAAGTAAAACAAATCAAAGTCTATGATATGTATCCACTTGCTGCCAGTACCTCCTCCCCATCGCAGACATCTCGCCAAGTCATTGCCCGTGCCAAGAGGAAGTATACATACTGGAGGGTTCCTGTCCAGGTTGGCCTTATCTTGAGCAGTGAGACAAAAATCACAACATGTCAAACAAGGTCAAAACTAGGAGACAAATTCACAAAATAAACCAGCAACAAACAACTGGACTCCATTTTGCACCTTTGCTTGTAAAAACAACAAATCAATATGGACTTCCAGTAGTACAGTCTATTTCAAAGACCATATTTTGCCTGACGGTTATTACCTACCTTTGTTTTGATTGATAAAAAATTGAGGCAATTTTTAGAGAGAATGAACAAGTAACACATCTTCAGGTCCAAACAGAGGTGAGTTTTTGTTTTCTTTGTAAATTATGACTAATGTGTTGTTTTTCCCCTCTTACGTAATCATCCTACTTGACCACCTCTGACAACAGAGAGATTGATAAAACTGTTTCTATACAGCCAATAAATGAGAGGATTTACAGAGGTTCTCAAAACACCGTTTGCACCGTGTTTTTTTTCTCCTACAATGTTTACATTTGATCACTGCTGCACTTTATGAAATAGAAATGTTCATTTCACTGCTAAGCTGCAACTCATTTACTGTCTGAAAGCTGTACAAAACGAAATGTCGTTTTGTAATCAATCTGTATGCAAAATGACAATAAAATTTGTCTAAGTCTAATAGGCTTAGCATGATAATATTAGATAACTCTTTTAAAGAGTAAATTAAGATTTGAATTAAAGATGCTGCATTAATTCTTTTTTAATAATTGGGTTCATTCTTTTAGACGTCAACATGCTGAAGAATTGGTGTAATGTCTTTTGACATCGCCATGCTAATGTCAAACAGAAACCTCTTTGCCTTTAGGAGCCAAAAGACTCCTAACCATGGTTATTAACAAGGATGTTAATATGCTTATATTTTCTAGGTCTTAAATATAACAGACAAACTAAGTTGAAACTTCAAGTAGCTCCACAATAATCGGCTAATTAAATATTATATCTTGGCAGCTGTTTTCCCTTTTGCATTACCTTAAAAGTAATTTCCTTCATAGAATTTGCACCTTTACTTAAGCTGACAGGAAGAGAATTTTATTTTTTCCAGAACATTTATTTGTCATAAATTCTCAAGTGCAAAACATCCTCAAAGGTCACTTCTACAGTATTTAATCAATGGCTGTTAGACACTGAGCATGAAAGCAATTCTGCCCAGATCTGTCAAGAACAATCTGCAAAGCACTCAAACCAGTGGAACTTTTGCAGTCCTGGTTGAAAGAAAAATGAAATCTCAGTTGTTAAATTTGTAGACCTTAAGTGGTTGTTTTTTGTGAAGAACTTATTTATTATTTTAAAGAGAAACAGGTACATTAGTCCGATAAAGGTAAAAGCCTGGATCTCTACAGAACTCTTACAGGACCTAAGAGACCATATTCCAACATCATATGTAAACAAAAATGGTGCTTAACGGAATTCCTGGATTTGCCATTGTTTGCCATGTTTGAATTGTATTAGCTCCAGCACCGTGCATTCTTGCCACTGAAAGTTCCATATTTATTATGTCAATTTACGTGTTAATCCATTGGGGCTTGGTAACTGTATGTGGAGGTTTCCAGTGTAAAGCCAATGTCTTTTTGGCAGCAGTGATGCCGGTTAGGAGAATGACCTTAAGTGGTTGTAAGATTACTGGCAAATTACGTATTTAACCTATTTAAAGCCCGTGTTATCACTGAGTAAAGTTGCCTCATATGGTGAAAACTTTGTTTTATACTTTCCCAGTAATCATAATTTCATATTTTGTTGTGTTTCCGATATTTACAAAAAATACTTTCCTTTATGATCTGAATATTTTCAACAAAACAGTTGAAAAGAGGTAATACATACCAATAAAATCCAGGATCCAGCCCACAGTGCCATCTCCTCCACAGGCTAATACTCTAAAATCAGGAACATCTCGGAAGAAGTTCAAACTGCAAAGATAAAAGCGTTTGGGTTTCTTTTTAGTCGTTTCTTTTTTTTCTTTATTTGTAGCATCGGTCATCCCAATAAACAGTAAGGGAGATTATGGTTTATTATATTACTGGTAAAATGGTGAAAGGATTTGCTTTTCATCATCATTATGTTCATTTAAGTTGCTTAACACAGAAGCCACATTTACCAAATCACACTTAAAACAGACATTTATACACTGATAAGTAGATCATCAGGAAACCTGGGCTTAGGCACATCGCAAAGGGGAACATTAACATGTGACTTAATAAAACTGTAGTCAAATCTACAAACATTTGCTGAATTCAAGACAATTATTCTACCCACTTGGCCACAGGTATCCCTTATTTTAGTTTTATCTCATGACTTGACTACTTTTATAAACTCACAGTCATACTTTGTAGTAAGGCAAACTACAGCTAATCCCACAAAAAAAAAAAACACACACACACACAACATGTTGCATTGATATTATTCATTCAGTGAGGTACATTGTCTGTTCGCGGTCTAATTGGATCATGACAGGCAATGTTCAGTCCAACTTCCTCCGTTCCTTCACAATAACAAAGCCCTAACTGAATGAGCCAGCCTCGCAACCTCGTATGGCGGGTAAATGACTCGCTCAATTACTCTCCAACTGGGGCAGCAAACCATATTAGACACAAAAACAGACGGCCGCGAACATGAAAGGCAACTTTGGGGATATTTAAATACCAAGAAACAAACACTTAATTTGCTGTAATTGCATTAGAGAGGCAGCTAATTGACAGTTGTGTACGCGGCTGCCTATGCCTGCAGTGTCCGTTGCTGACCGCTCACCCTGCTAATGTGTGGTGCAGTGGGTTCACTTGGCAAAATATTAACAAGGTTAAAGCTGGGGAAGGTCATCCACATGCTGTCAACCAATGGAGGTGCTGGATCTCTGCACACAGCACCAGGTGCTGTTCCATTTAACATCAGAGGAAAAGAAATAAAGCTAAATTATGGGTGCTGAAAGCTCTGCTCATCCTGATGCATACAGTTCATGCCTCACGGATCCCTTTTAAACCGGTGAGTGTTTCTGTTTATTTACCTTTGATAATTCAAAAAAATGCTGTTTTTCTGGCCTAATCAAAGCCAAACAACATGGCAGCACGGGGCCCAGAAATTCCTGTGTATTCCAAGCACTACTGGACGCCAGCGGTAAAGTGAAAGAGCCTCGTGCATGTAAATTATCCATTCATTTTCTTAATCACAAATGTGAACTGTAGGAGACCAGACGGCATCCACACCACCAGGCTGTGGTGAGCTGCTTGTCTGTATGCATGATCACATGTTGTGTGAGCTTCACCCACTTTGCATCCGTCACTCATTTGTGTCATGAGCTCTCATATAGTCTTCTGCATACAGAGCCACTGCGTGTTTAAGGGTCTTGCATGATACCATCGTCTCCAGGATTTGTTATATGTGAACTCACCTCATTTTGGTGTGTAATGTGTGAGGGAGGAGACAGTAAAGGCTATAGTACTGAAAGCATCTCTTGCATGTGATCACAATCATTATGTGTGAGCAACAACAAAGAGTTCTCTAAACAGAACGTCAAATATTTATCTTTGATATATAAATATAAATACTGCGAACAAAACAAAGTAAATAAAAAAATAAAAAATAAGCAGAAGTAAAAGAAAAATTGGGTATATTCATGTTGGGTTTATTGTCGTGTTTTAAAGTTAAAAGTTGGGTATTTCATTCATCCAATATAACTTTAACACCAAACTTGAAAATTGGCTTGAATATATAGATAATGCTTTTATTTTTTGCATCTAGATTTAAGCTCCACGCACGTGGACAGCTGCTGGCAACCCTCTTTTAATAAAAAAACAACAATGGCCACAGAAATATCCTAAATCTGGTAAGAATAATAATACGTAAAAGTTCAGTGGACAGTCAGTCAGTGCTTTTCAATCATGCTTCAACATTTATTTAAAAAATCATTTAAAAAGATAAACTTATGAAACAGACCTGGTCAAACACAATGGTACCCTTGACCAAAGGGACATGTTAAATCAAGGTGTGTGACCTAAACTAAAACATCAATGGGAAAATAATCAAAAGAAATAGAAATAGGTCTAAAAAAAATAAACCCAATTATAGAGGGTGACAAGTGCAACAATACAACAGATAAATAGTTTTCTGAAATTATTACTTACATCTGCTATTACTTTATGAAAATTGAAAAAAATACAGAATTTATTGTATCAGCATATAATTAACTGCTTAAGAAGTGAATTAACCTATTCCATGATTCAATGAATTATTTCATGTTCCTGCGTTAAAGCACACCATGTTGTCACGCGGCTATTAAAAGGCAAGGAGGTGGGCCTCGGGCCACTTCCATAGAAACCCTGACATCTGATTGGCTGCTTCTCACTGAGCAATATAAGACCACTTCTTGCTGTTTTTTGTTTTACTCTAGAGTCAATACAATTGCTCCAAAATCAGGTAGAAGTTACTTGAAAACCTATTAAATTTTGTTTACAGCACATTAGGTGAGTAATCCCAGCCTTTAATCCATACTGTGGTCTGAAATATATCTAACAAGCTTGGGAGAGCTTGCCGTTATCTAGCGTCATGGGAGCAAGGACTTTATATTAGCTGCTGCCGCTGTCCGTCCGTCCGTCCGTCCGTCCATCCGTCCATCCATCCATCCATCCATCCATCCATCCATCCATCCATCCATCCATCCATCCNTCCATCCATCCATCCATCCATCCATCCATCCATCCATCCATCCATCCATCCATCCATCCATCCATCCATCCATCCATCCATCCATTCTGAATAGTATTTGCAACTGCAGTCACAGGAAAATTGAACCTCTTGGAGACGGTTTCATAGCCTTTACCTTTAACATGCTTGTCAGGTTTCCATTGAACATGTAAGCATACAGACCGTCTGCTGAGGGTATGCGCCGCTGTTTCTGCTAGGCACCCTATAGCAGTTGGACTCAGATTTCATGGCGCACTGGCTGGAACCGCTCTGACTGACCATACTGGCTGTGATCAACAGGAGCAGCATGGCGTGGATGCGGAGAAGGCACTCCGCTGCACTAACACATTCGGTGCAATCCTGGGGCAAGAAAACTTTTTACTTCCCTTCCTTTAGTCCATGTTGGGTGTGGTACACATCAAACAGCACGGTTACTACCTGTAGCCCTATATAGACCAACTGACTGATTACAAGATTAAAAGACTGTTGAAGCATGGAAAAGCACTGACTGACTGTCCATTGAATTTTATTTATTATTACTCATACAACATTTAATTTATTTCTTTGACCATCATTAGGTTTTCTTTAATTAAACAAGGGTTTTTAGCAATTTTGTCCACATGTGTAGATCTTGCCCCCCTAAAACGTTAGGTTGAAAAAAAAAATGTACGTTCTTTTCCAATTATTGCATGCAAAACAAATTCTCTCTTAAACATCTGTAGACATAAAATGAAATGACTTCTGTGTACTCCATATCTACCATGGTCGTAATTGTTCACTATTCAAGTTTAAATGACTATTGTAGTATTCTGTATTCTATAATTTTATTTCATGTCTCTATTCACCAAGCAACTGCTGTAACTTCAAAACATGTGCCTCAAAACAGTTAAATAATTACACTACACAAACAAAATTAGTATTAATGTTCTTTGATTTTATAACATACCCTGGCATTGGTCCATTCTTGGCCAGGTTGTAAACTTGTCTGGGGTTCAGGAGATACTGGAACTTTCTGTAAATCCTAATTAAAAAAACAAAACAAAACAAGCGTTAAACAATGAACAAATCGAAATAGCAGAACGCTATCACCAGTGCTACGTATTGTATGGCAGTAGGGGGATGCAGAGCCTTGTGTGATCAAACTATGACACGCCAGTGGACTGGGCAGCAAGGCGGAAAAATGTCCAAAGTCCCCTTGAGGAAAAAACCATTAGAACGACTAATTCATTTTAATTTCAATTTCATTATATCAACTGGCTGAAGTCATATTTTGATCTCATAATTTAAACAGATGAGGGCCGGCATAATAAGAAGTGAATGAATATGTTTCAGTAATAACCCAATTAGCCCTGGGTTGAAAAGAGGGACCCAGGGCGGGATGTGACAGTGAGAGGAGTTTCTTTCTGACAGCGGAGGCATCCGGCGCTTTAGGTAAATCAGATTGTGTTTTTATTTGACTAAGTAAGCTAAAAAGCACTCGTCAGCCCAGAGGCCATGCTGTTTCCTCCCCTCTGTAGCTGAGGAGAGGGGCTTCAGAGGCCTCTTGTAGCATGTTGAGACAGGTTGTGTACTTACCTCTCCCCCTGCTTGCCCCCGCTCTTCGGATTGACAAACACCAGCAGAGGATGAGTGCCCTCTATTGTTGTGATCTGTGTGGAAGATGTCAAAACAAAGCCTCTGTGTTTGGAGACTGCAGGATGCTTCACAGGAATTCACTTTCAAGCCGTATCCCTCAGACATTTTATCAAGTATATATGGCACTTCCAAGCACTACACTGCCTGCCTGCCATCTGCACATATTTCCTGTGAACTGGTCGAGGCCAGGAATGGATGGGCTCTATGTTCTTCTAAGTGAAAACGGAAACTTTTCCCTTGAAATTTTACTCATAGGGTACATTTAACAGATTTGTTAAAAAAAATCATTTCTAGAGGGTTAAGGTTAAACTCACACTGGAGAAGCTGAATCTTTATATTCGGAAGTTAAAAGCTAAATCTTGCTGCCCATTTAGAACTAAAGCCATCAATGTTTACTATTGTTTAATTGTGAAGACAGATGGAAATGTCATATAGTTTCAACATAGTTTTTCTCAAATTTAAATCTGAAAAGTGTGGTGTCCATTTTTATCAGTGTTCCTCTGCTGGAGAGTTCTGCCTGTATGTGTAGTTTTCCTTACAAGGATTGATAAAGTAATTCTGATTCGGATTTTGCTGTTCTGCTAGATGATCAATCAGCCGGACAAAAAAACCCTTGTAAGAGTCTCTTCTAGCCTTTTGCCTTTCAGGTGTATTTTTTATTTATATTTTTTTGCAAGTTGTGAAGCCTTCTTGCCCTACAACAGGTAAATCCTGCTTGAATTTCAGGCACCTGTTTCAAACATGTATATAAAATTAATGAGTTCCTGCATTTAGCCCTCTCTATTGTCCAATCAGTATGACAAACCCTTCTCTTCCTTCTATAGAAAAGAATCAACACTGATGATAGAGTAGCATCCATTCAAAATGGCCCTTCTAAGTCAAACGTCAGCCGAATAGCAGCAGACTTCCCTCGAACTCCCAGCGAAATCCCCTCCAACTTCCAGCCACTGGAGTGACCCCCTCTGGCATTATTTTTACTCTGATTCCACGCTTTCACTGAATTACAGGGTCTGACCAGGAGATGATGCTTCTCTTTGGATCTTATTGTCCACAAATCATGACAGAAAAAATATCATATTCATATTAAAAAGGAATTGTAGGGGACCAGCCGAGGACCAGGCAAGGGCCCTTCAAGGAAAGTTGGGAAAATTTTAAAGGCTACTACTGTACTTCCACGTCAGTGCTTTACTGGGAAAGTGGTGGGTTATGGGTGCTCTACAGAGTCTGTTTTCTATTATATGTAGTGTATTGTATTTATGTTAAAGTCAAACATATCTCTGTTGTATCTCTGGTTAATGCTCTCTGTGCCCGGTCAGGTTAGTTCAGGGAAGCCCTGGTTCTGGTATTGTAGATCATTTCTTCCATCTGGGACAACTTTTCCAACTTTTAGCAACACTGAAAATAATTGGAACTTTTTGTTAAATTTTGTTATCAGACAAACCAATTTCAGTTGGTTGCCTTTGTCAGGGTCATTAACCACATATGAATAGAATCTGGATTGTAATTAGCACTATGTAATTACTATGTAATTAGGTGCACTGGCTTTTATGTAAATGTTTAAGAGGAAAGAGGGCTGTATGCAAAGAAATGTCACACCTTTGAATTTTTTATTTGGAAAAGATTTTCCTCCCCATGCCCATTTATGAATTACTTTATGTTTGACTATTGATGTAAAATCTTCAGGAATGACATCACAGTTTATTACCATATGAGAAAACATTAAAATCATACAAAAACCTCAGGAAGACTCTGTGATTACGATACAATTTTTCCTCTTTTTCATTTATGGGATAGCTTGTGTAAATAATAAGAGTAATTATCTCCAGGTTTGCCTGAGGTTCCCAGAAGCCAGACCTGGATTGAGCCTCATGCACCGTTTGAACTGTCCTGAAACAACTCGCCCGATGCTCTTCCTGACACAGATGAAGCACTTAACTCCTCCTGTCTGCTATCCCAGCAGGCCGAGGGTGAATTAATGAGCTCCCTGTCCGGTCAAGAGTGATCCATTACTTCCTGTAATTATAAATAATAATCTTGATTATTACGCTGGTTAGCCAGCGAGAGTCATAGATGGATGTTGCTGGGATATGATTCATCGTATTTCTCCTTCTCTTGAATTTGCTCATAGACGTATGCTTGCCACAGACGGCAGCAGGTTTTCCTTCGGCAGCATTCTGGCACAAGATCAGGATGCTGATTATGGATGATGCTGATTACCAGCAGGACCGGCGGTTTTTACCAACTGCAGAGGCTTACTGTATATTAAATCTTAAGATTTATTGGGTAATGGCTCTAATATGCACTGTTAATGGTAGTATATTTTGCTGCCTTTACACCTACACTAGATGCAGATTTTCAAACCAACTGCTTTAAAACTTGAATATCTGTTCAGCAAACCCTCCTACATTGTTCTAAGCCAGGATATGTCTGCACTTCCATCAGGTTTAGGTGACATATTTTGCCAGATCTAAAGCTATAACAAATTTTAACCCAATAATGCCAAATGTATCATATTTGATACATACGGTTTCTGAAATGTTTTGCATCTAATACCTTTTGAATAATTTAATGGTAAAAACTTTGCTCAAAATCCTATTGTACACAATCAGATGTACCTGATAACAGCCAGTAGAAGACTACACAAAAAATAATCTTGACTTATCACATAGTAATAAATTATTAATATCAAAAATGTATTTATGTTTTTTCTTTTTACATATTTTGTTAAAAGGGCAAATAAGGAATTCAAACCACACTGAGCAAAAAAAAAAGTGGGCGAAAAAGAAATCCCACACTATAATAATAGATTTTACACCTAAAATCACATGCACAATAATTATTGCCTGTGTTTATAAATTCATTAATATTTTATATTTATTAGAATGCTATTTTACAACATTTTATCTATTCAATCTATCTGAAAAATGACAATATAAAAAAAAAAGGAATTTATAGAGTCCCTGAGGTCACGCAATCCAACAAGGATCTCTGGGCCTTTAAAAGCGACACAGATTGACAGCATCACAGATGCTGTGGTTACTTTTGTGATGGTAGGACAGAAGAAGCGTCGAAATGACAGTGAGGCTCACGGAAGGTGTCTAATGGTAGTTATAAGGACTTATAACCTTCAGTCTAAACTGGAGGTCTCAATTTTCATGATCCTCCTCACTGATTGTGTTTAAATAAGATTTGGTTATCTTGTCAACGTTTCAGTTTAATCATGTTTTTAACTACCTATCTGGCTGTTATAGATGTGAAGTTAGTTTCCTGTTGCCATTTCTTGACTTATTAACATCAGCAAACACCTTCGCTATTTGAATATTCTGCTGTCTTTGGACTTTTCTATTTCTCCTTAGAGACTGTTATTCACTATAAATTTATCAAAACAAATGTATGAATTTATTAGCTATTCATTTGGCTCAGGATGGAAATATGCAAGTGATGGTCTTATTTATTCATTTATTAAAAACATCTTTCTCACTATAAATATAAAGGGGGTATTTTTACTGTTCTAATAACTCACACTTCTCAAGTGTTCTATTATTTTATAACACTTGGGATGTTATTTCTATAATGTTATTTTAGCAGACATCTAGACAAATTGCTAGATCTGACTTCTTGAGCATTTCAGATGATATAGATGCTTTTCGTTTTTTGCTAAAATGTATAAAGGTGTCAGTTAAAGCATAAATATTTTTCAGAGGTGCGGTTGACCTGCAGCCCTTGGCCGTCCACCGTCACAGAATTGGCTCTCTGCATCTTTCCTCGACTCGACTGGCTTGACCGTGAGTCCTTCCTCAGAGTCGACTGCCGTTCCTGAAGTGACAACTTTAATATTAACAGTTTTATTCTAAAAAGCAAGCGAAACAAGTAGATAAAAAAACAGAAAGTTCAACTGAAAAAAATATAGTTCTATATACCCAGACCCAAACACATGTATAAAAAGATATATAAAAAATTTTCTGTGTTGTGAATTTTATACAGCTTCCATAATTGCACCTTTTCGAGCCAATACTTTTTTCCATCTTTCTTTTAGCAACTGAGCTGCTGTTTTCAATTGTTTTCTAAGGTGTATAACACAGAAAAAATTATTCCTTGGTTTTATTCGAACAATTCAAAGTTTTAGCAAAAAATAAAGAACAAAAAAGCCTGAAGAATAAAGTGAAAAATGTGCTGCAGGTCTCTTGACAACCAAATAGATTTTAATCTAACCTACAATGAAGGAAATGGGAAATCATCCAGCTGTATGCAGCATGTTTTACTACCCTGTATGCTACTTTTGCTCAACTTTAGAGTCCTGTTGATCACTTCCCTCCTTCTTTTCTATATGTGATAAAAGACATGACTGCAACATGGCACAAAAAGAGCATCAAATTCCTTGTACTGTAGCTGCTACACTTGCTGGGTATATTTGTATATAAATGTATTCATAGCAGCTTGCTTTGTGAATCCAACCCAGAATCATCTTGCAAATGATAAAATTAGACTAAAGTGTTCGGTGGATTTTATACCATCTGATTTTTTTTGTATTTAACCTGCTGATCATCAGTAAGAACCATCTGAGAGAGGTGGAATAAATAACAATTTTTTTTTGCAAACTAATTTAACCATCTTACGTATGTGTCTGGATTTTAAAAGAAAAGCTGAGAAACTAAAGTTTCATCTGTTGCTTTTGGAGGAAAAAGTTATTAGAGTAGAGAACTTGCATCGTCTTTAAACACACTTGTGCAATTTGGGACATAAAGTTCTACAAAATAAATTGGTGCCATTTCAGAGCTCAGTAGGAGAACACAGGCCTGATGATTGGATCATCAGGTCTCAAACAAGGCCCGGTTCTCTCAGCCTTAAGGCCTGCTGTCCAGAAAAGAGCAGAGTCTTACCAGAACAACAGGGCAGATTGAGTTTGGGGGCAGGATGTGATCCTTCAGGGGTCCGCAGTCACACTCAGGTTTCACGTGGGAAGCACACTTGTTATGGAGCTGGAGGAGGTGGAAGCTATTATTAACAACCTCAAACTAGCGGCAACAGAAATAAATATTTCAGCAATATTTTTCAGGGTTTATTTGCAAATGCGCACATCACTGTCTCGCTCTTATTTTCTATTATCCTATAGCTGCAAACAAGTGTTTTCTGAGTGTAAATTGGCAAAATCAGTTGTGAGGTATCAGAGGTGCCAAAATGAAAGCCTAAACAACAAGAAGCAGTGGGAATATAATGAGGAGGTGGCTGCCTCTCGGCAGGGGGGTGGCTTACCGTGATTTGACACCAAACACAGTGGAGCCCAGTCAGGCCCTGGTAACACTTAATGGTTTTGTGACACTTGTCACACTTGGTGGGGCAGTTCCCCTCCACCCAGAAATGATGCATTACCTGCAGAGAGGAGGAGAGACGGCATACTGGGTGGAAAAGCAGCGAGAAAAAGAAACGTTCAGAAAAACAAGATGTACACAAAGGTAGAAGTGACACTGCAATTAAAGATGGAAAGAGGAGAGAAAACAATCAGGAGGAAACAACAAATAAATAAGAGAAAAGAAGCCAAACAATTGCTTTGTGTGTTTGTCAGTGAAAAAGGGATTATGCTGGTAATTAGTTATCTATATAACAGTTATTTTTTTTATAAGGAGGAGTGAAGCTTCATAAAGATTAGCTGATCCGTGGTAGCCAGCAGCCGGACTCACCTCTGTGTTCTTCTTGGACTTCACATATGTTTTGATGCAAGACAGTGGAGCGCGAGCCACACAGCGCTCATGGACCGTATACTTGCAAACTGACAAAAGCCAAAAAATAAATAAACATAAGTCAGAATAAGACAAATGTCAGAATATGAATTTACCTCGAAATTTATATTCTCAAGCAATATACATTTCGTTAATGTGCTTAAATTGAATTAAATGTTTATACTATTTTATGAATACTAAGGGAAAAAAACTGGCATCTTTGGATACCCTCTCTTAATAAAATATTATTCTATAACCTTTTATGAATAGAGATCACAGCACTCTTTCCACTCATTGATATCCACGACAGAGACCTTCAAAACATCTCAAAATAGATGTATATCTTCTGATAAACTTTTTTTAACACCTAACATTTTTTATTTTCAAATTGGTACATTTAATCAGAGTAAAAGGAAATGACGTTCAGATTCAGATCGGAAAATTTTGTGAATGATGCCAATATTATTTGCAAATATTAAGAAAAAAAAATGTGTGTATATATAAAAAAAAAGTAAAGTGTCTTTTATATATCCTGAAAGATGTCATTCACTGGGAAAAAAATCAAAATCTAGACGAGTTATTTTTTTCTTAAAATAACTGCATTTGCCCTTGGATTAAGGTAGTAAAAGAGACATCTTGCCAATGGAACAAGGCAATTTACACTTAGAATAAGAAAACAAAATAGCATTGTTTAATTTCAAGTGCAGATTATGTAATTATCTTATTTATCAGAGTAAAAATACTCATTCCGTTGGCAAACTATCTCATTTACCTACTCAAATTAAGGGGAAATACACTTAATTTAAGACATTTTTACTTATTTCTAGATCGTGTTTCCAGTGTTCACACTAAAGTAACGCTCATCAAGACACTCAAATAACTAAATCTTTAATATATAATCACACAAATGCATCAGTAGGGTAAAAAAGGAAAAATTAGAGGTTTTTATTGCTACTGCTATTTTTGTATTGGTCAAATACGAAAAAACTAAAGGGCAAGTATCACCAATATCGATAGAAACACGGATAATTTTCAATATTAAAGTTTAGTCTCATCCAAATTTAAATGCTTTTGTATGTCCAACTTTTGGATAACATTTATGCAGAATAGTATAATAAGATCCAATTAATGTTAAAAATGGAAACAACAGAATAAGAGATAAAATTAAATGTGTGTTTTGTCTGACACAAAGTGCAACTTAGAGTTCATAAACAACAGCAAAAAATACAACAAAATTTTACCCGATGTGAGTGTATTTTTTGAATTTGGATCTAAAATAACTAAAGAGAACAATAAATGCTGCCATAAATACAAAGAAGAAATCCCAGAAACCTCACAGTGGGCCTGTGGAGAAAAAATGAAAACACTACAGTGGGGGTTGTGTCATCTCACACATTATGCTGAGACAGAGCGACAACTTGGATTACTGTAAGAGTGAATCTGAAACTAAAGTATCAACCTCGTCACCATGGTATTCAGCCAAAACAGATACCGACTTGCATAGTCCATATTTATTTTAATGCACAGTAAAATTATCTGTTGGAGACCTGAATCACAGAGCGGCATTATGTGGTCTCCATAGCAACTATTGGTCAAGAGAAGGTGGTCCTTTCTTTCCTCACATTTAAAGAATTAACTTCAACAGATTGTTAACTCCTGCTTTGACTTCAATTCAACTCTATTCTTTGGTTAGATGAGCAAATATATGTTCTTTGGAGACACAGTCCAGTTAGTTTTGGCATAAAGGAAAAGAATAAATAAGAGGAGGAAACACCTCATCCCTACTGTTAGATGCTGGGGTGCATCTGCAATACTGCAGGTCTGTTACTAACACATGCTGTAATGAACTGATTGAAATATCAAGGAGAATTCAATAAAAATCAGGTGGCTTCTGCCAAACAACTGGAAACAGATCACCACTGGGTCACTTCAAGCAGGATAATGACCCTAACATGTGGCTGTAGCAACACAAAAATGGCTAACCAAACACCAAATTAGCCTTCCTTTATGATCAAATGTATTTCTTTAACTATTTTTAGGAAAACTGTGAGGTGAGCTCTACAGAAGAGAGCATGAAAGAGGTTCTAAATTGAGCAAAAAGAAACATATTTCCATTTGCTCAGAAATATAATATAAATATATTCTCATAGTTGCATTGAACATGCTTTATTGTGAAAGAAAAAAACATTTATTAGTTTTTTTCCACTAAATAAATTTACCTAAAAATTTTTTTAGGATACTTAAGAAGTTTTAATATGAATTTGTTCTTTGCAGTACAAGAAGACTTTGTTTTTATGGTTTCTTAGTTTGTGATTTTAATCAAATGAAAATAAACATGGTAATAATAAACACAGTGCAATATTAGCATATTTTAAACATCAGCTCCTGAGTATTTAGGGATAAACTCACATGAGCAGCAGAGTCCCTGCTTCCCCAGTCCAATTAGCATGTTGAGACACAGGTTACAGTAGGCGGGTTTGTTGAAGTGCTTCAATCTCCACACATGCTGCCCGTCATCTTTTACATTCTGAACAAACAGAGCAGACTCATCATTAGTGACTTAATGAGAAACTGTAGTGGAATTACTTTATTTCATGTTAAATTGGATGAGAATAAATCAATTACAAGATTATTTTATTTCTTATCTTTTTTATTTTGTGGATACCTTTGAAATGCATTTTTGATCTTTTAGTAAAAGTATTCAAATGATTCATTCATTCATAAATTAAAAAGAGAATTTGGGTTTTGAACTAAAGGTTGGGAAAGGCTGCCATCTAGAGAATAATAAAAGAATAGCGTTCTTTGTTTTCCTGTAATACAAACAGTTTATGTTCATAAAAAAAGCTGAAAAGCTTTTCTGATGAGCAAATTTAATTACTGCGCTCTTTTTAGTAACAGCTTATATATCGGATTATTATGTAAAAGGGATCAGCAGCAACTTCATTTACTGCAAAGGTTTTATTTGCTTAAAAATCTCTATTAGTAATGGTGAGTTAACCCCCCCTCCCCCCAAAACGCATTTCCTATTTGCCTGAAAATAACCTCACATGCAGAAAAAGGTTTTTCAGGATACTGCAGGTGAAGTATGTCCAAGAGCAGAGAAGTACGTCCAGCTGCAGAACTTGCTTTATATTGGCCAAAGTTTTTTCACACACAAACAAAGAGATAATTTTGTAAAATATGGAAACAATTTATTTTAAAATAAGATTCAATGGAATAAAACAGCATTAAAATAAATGAAGCAGCAACATCAGACTGGGATTCTCCAGGCAATAGCAATAAAAGAAAAGGCAGGAGTGGAAAGTTATTTTACAGCAATGATTTCTGATAAATCCCCCCTCTCATTGTTAAGGACATGTGCTGAGGAAAAGGGATTTCCCATCTTGCTGCAATGTGTGGGCCTCATTTTCATTAAAAGGGAGTAGGTAACCTTGGGACTATGTTTCTCGGCTGGCCTGGGAAACGCCTTGGGATTCCCTCAGGCGAGCTGGCCCAAGTGGATGGGGAGAGTGACGTCTGGGCTGAAGCTGGTACCCCGGAAACCTGACCCCAGATAGGCGTAAGAGGATGCAATGGATGGATGGATGGATGGATGGATGGATGGATGGATGGATGGATGGATGGATGGATGGATGGATGGATGGATGGATGTAACCTTGTAGTTCTGCACCAAAATGACCAAAGACTGCCTTGAAATGAGACGAAAACATCCACCAAATAAAAAATAATCCAACAATCTGGACTAGAGTGCTGGTGTTTCTTTTAATACTTGATTTAGTCATTTTTCAGCATAGAGGAATTTTATGTCACAAGGCAAGAAAACAAGAAAAGTGTCTCAAGCATCTTAAAATTGGACGTTTGGACCTGTAGTCAGGAAAAAGCACATGTTCACCTCTTGAAAGCATCAGTATTAATAAGGATAAGTGAAAAATACAAAAGTTGTGGAAAGGAACGAACTAAGAGTACTCAATATGCACAAATCTGATGTATGTGGTTTTAAAACAATCACAAAAACATACAAAAACAGTTAAAATTGTTTACTAGCAGAAGAATTTACTCATGACTATTTTTTTATTATTATTATTATATATTATGGAAGAATTTACATGATCCAATTAAAGATAGGCTGTGTCAAATTTAGAGTAATTAACATATTCACCTTGCAGGACTGATCTAAAATGAGGTTAAATAAGGAGCGGGGTGAGAATAACACAACTAATTTACACCTGTGGGGTGTAAGACATCATATACACAAGCTCCGAATTAAAGGTGTTAAAAAAAAAAAAAAAAAAACGGAATATGCCGTATTTCACAAACAGTGAAAAATGTTTTAAATAAGTTTTGCTCCTTACCACAAAGAAATGTCAGAAGAAAAATAAATCCTATATTTTCTCAGCTCTTGTAGCTGTGGGGGTAAATTAGAAACACCAATTAAGTATGAAATGGTCAATGGATGATTTGATTTCATATAGAGGTGGTAATGTAAACCACCAGAATCAGGCGACTGGATCATCTTTATAGATTCAATAAGCTTTAATTGAACTTAATGTTCTAAAAAAAATTTTATTGTGTGTTATTTTTTCACTATGTTTGCTTTATTAGCTTTCAGCTTGCTTTTTTGTTTTTCCTTTTGAACAGTTCTGCAGCCATTTATGTAAAAGATTCATCACCAGGGCCAAGAACTGACACATTTACCTTTTATAGTTTTTCAATCTAACTTGAGCTCCTGCTGTGGGAGGGACAGTGCAGTAAATTCACAGCATCTCTTTCTATTGACTCACCGTCTCCAGGCCCAAAAGGACCAGCAGAGGGATGGTTGTCAGGCCCCCTTGAATCCACTCCCCCAGTGACACCGTGCCATCCTGATCATAGTCAATCTCATGCATCATTTCCTGAAGGATCTATGACACAATTGTTTTACTATTGTAAACAGAGCATTTAGTTTACAGCAATTAAAAACCTTAATGTTCATGTTAAGAATTAACATTATGCTCATATTATACTGTTTGGCATCCCTGGCAAAGATGTGCTTCTGAAGTGGAAGAAAAAAAACCCAACATACTATAGGAATGAATTGTTTTTAATCAAATTACCAGAACCTAAATGATCAGCGTTTTAACCCAGGGACATTTCAGAATCGTATAGCGTATAGGAAGACAGATATTTAGCTTTTCCTTTGTAGATTGTTCTTATTCCTGGGTCCTCTCTGAGGGTTTCTTCTCTTCTGCTCAAATACAGCTTTTCTCTAGGATTTCAGTCTGGGGACAGAGCTCTCCATAGAAGGTTGATTTATTTCAGTGACATTGTAGCTGCTAAAGGAGACATCACTATTCAGTTGGTCGTGTGTTTTGGGTCATTATTCTGGTGAAACAACAGAACATCTTTGTACAATGTTCCTGGTACCACATATTATATAAAATGGGTTTCAGAGGCCCTTAGAGGAGAGAAAGGCCCAAAGTATCATTGATCATCATTCTTAGAAGTTGTAATCAAGACCTCTGTGACTTATTCATAATTTAATTTAACCTAGACCTCCCTATGGTGTTTTTCCCAAAATGCTTAATATTTGTCAGACAGTATTACCATTTAAAATCTGTAAGGTAGTCCTCAAAAGAAATACAACTCTCTGTTGCTCCCCTCTGACAGTGCTCTATGATTTCACTGTTATTTTTACTCTGCTCTGTAAACTGTGCTGTAGCAGCCTTTTTTTCCTAAACTTCCGGCAGATATTATTTATGCTCAGATGGGGAGAATATTTTCTGTTATTCCAAATAATTTTGTTAGAGAAATCAACATTAACCAGCTTCATGTTTATGGAGCGCTTTCTTGTCTTTCCAATTTTGAAGATTGGCAAAGAAAAAGGGATAA